GATTCCACCCCCTATCCAACCACCCTGCTCCCTGACTGCTCCCACCCCTTATCCAAACCCCCCCGTCCCCGGACCCCTTACCATGAGGCTCCTAGCAGCATGTTTGGCTCCACGCAGAGCCAGACACGCTGCCCCGCAGGAGCGCGCAGCCCCAGCCCCCAGAGCGCTGCGTGCATGGCGGCATGGCTCCAGGGGAGGGGGGAGCGTGTCTGCCTCACCACAGAGCCAAACGCTGCCCCGCGGGAGCGCGCAGCCCCGGTCCCCAGAGCGCTGCGTGCGTGGCGACATGGCTCCAGGGGAGGGGCCCGGCGACTTGCTGTGCTCGCCCGGGCGCTCCGGCCTGGGAGCGCAGACCCCGCGGCTTGCCGCGCTGGGAGAGTGGGGCCCTTTGCCCACCCCTGCATTAGGGTGTGCCTGGGCACACCCCGTGCGCACGCCTATGGTGGAAAAGCTGCGGCTGGCTACATTCTGGTGTGAACCCTGGCAGAAATCGGGCGGGGTGGGGCATGTGACCCTGTGTGCCCCACGCATGTTGTCTCAGGCCGACGCGGCGGCAAGTACCAGGAGAGGCAGGTCCGTCCTGGGGGGCCAATCAGGCATGGAGGGCGGAGAGGGCCAGTCGTCACCTCCCCAGCCCTGCGTGGGAGCGGTGTACGGGAGTTTGTGCGCGCGATAAGATAAGAAGATAAATGAAAAGAATCCAGCTAGTGGCATTCCTTTGTAACAGAGGGGCAGTGAACTTGGTGTTCATTTGAACGTTTGTACTGCACAGTTCTGCTTGATGGTGGTGGAACTCGCTTGAATATGCAAAATTTTACCAGGGGTCTCGTATTCAGCACAAGGACACATGGTCACCCGTCACACGCCCCTCCCCAGGCAGTGCCAGTCCAGCACCCATCCCCGAGCCAGGGGCAGTGCCCTTTGCCACCAGCCGCCCCCTCGCCACACCTAGCCCCAAGCGCTAACCCTGCCTCCCTCTCCCCCCCCCTCCCTAGGTGACCCTGACGGCCACCCTGGGCACCCTCGACGTGGCGGCGGTGGTGGAGGGGGTGAAGGCGCAGGGCGAGGGGGAGACGTGTCTCTCGCTGTCAGCCACCCAGCTGGACAACCTCAACCGCCAGCTGCAGTTCGTCACCTACACCAACACGCTTTTCCACCCCAACACCGCGGACACAGGTGGGCACCCGGCGCCGCGAGGGGGGGGGGGGGGCGTGAGAATCTGACAACTGGCCCGGGGTGGGGCAAGGGGCAATACTTGGGGGGGGTACCATCCTGCAACAGGCCATAAACCCCCGACAGAACATTCCAGTATAGGGCTTGTGACCCTGCGTGCCCCCCCTTGGCACCAGGAGACGTGGGTCCGTCCCAGGGGGCCAATCAGGCATGGAGGGTGGAGAGTGCAGGGCAGGGAGGGGAGGGCCAGTCAGTCACCTCCCCCGTTAGCAAGTTCGCAGATGACACTAAGCTGGGGGGAGAGGTAGATACGCTGGAGGGTAGGGATAGGGTCCAGAGGGACCTGGACAAATTGGAGGATTGGACCAAAAGAAATCTGAGGAGGTTCAACAAGGACAAGTGCAGAGTCCTGCACTTAGGACGGAAGAATCCCAGGCACTGTTACAGGCTGGGGACTGACTGGCTAAGCAGCAGTTCTGCAGAAAAGGACCTGGGGGTTACAGTGGACGAGAAGCTGGATACGAGTCAGCAGTGTGCCCTTGGTGCCAAGAAGGCCAACGGCATATTGGGCTGTATTAGTAGGAGCATTGCCAGCAGATCGAGGGAAGTGATTATTCCCCTCTATTCGGCACTGGTGGGGCCACACCTGGAGTATTGCGTCCAGTTTTGGTCCCCCCACTACAGAAGGGATGTGGACAGATTGGAGAGTCCAGCGGAGAGCAACACAAATGATTAGGGGGCTGGAGCACATGACTTATGAGGAGAGGCTGAGAGAACTGGGGTTAGTTAGTTTGCAGAAGAGAAGAGTGAGGGGGGATTTGATAACCGCCTTCAACTACTTGAAGGGGGGCTCCAAAGAGGATGGAGCTTGGCTGTTCTCAGTGGTGGCAGATGACAGAACAAGGAGCAATGGTCTCAAGTTGCAGTGGGGGAGGTCTAGGTTGGATATTTGGAAACCCTATTTCACTAGGAGGGTGGTGAAGCACTGGAATGGGTTCCCTAGGGAGGTGGTGGAATCTCCTTCCTTAGAGGTTTTTAAGGCCCAGCTTGACAAAGCCCTGGCTGGGATGATTGAGTTGGGAATTGGTCCTGCTTTGAGCAGGGGGTTGGACTAGATACCTCCTGAGGTCGCTTCCAACCCTGATATTCTCTGATTCATGGAGAGGGCAGGATCAGTACCGGGCTGTAACAGGGCAATGACTCACCACTGCGGCGCCTCCTGCTGGTCATCCTGGGAACTAGCTCTGTCCACTCAGGAGCGCCCTCTGCAGGCCGGTGTCTCGCTTGCCGCTGGCCCTGGTGTCCCTCCTGGACCCCGGAGCCCCTTACCTCAGGGTTCCGCCCCGTGCAGTACCCCGCAGTCTCCCAACCCCCTATCCCCACCTCACCTCAGTCTTGGGCTACTGCCAGTCACCATCTAGCCCCCACTCACTGGGGCGGCCTGCAGTATCAGCCACTCATCACTGGCAAGGAGGGTTTGGACCTACTGCCTCTGCCTACCCTTGGCCTGCCCCCTGCAACCCCAGTACCCTTCTTAGCCTTTAGCAAGGCCTGCAACCTGAGGGGTTTCCAGGCCAGAGCTCCTCTGGCCTTTCCCCAGCCCTGCTCCACTCTAGGGACCCTGCTCAGCTCCCAGCAGCCAGGCCCTTCCCTCTCCACATCTCCCCCCAGCCCTCTTATAAGGGCCCTCATTAAACCAGCCACAGCTGGGGTCAGCGACCCACTCAGCTTCCCCAGTCCCTGCTACAAGGGCACGACACAATGGGGCATTATTCCAGGGTATTGCCCGGTCGGTCAGGGTGACGCAACCACAGAAATTGGGGGGCAGCCACAGAATGGAGCAGTTTTTAAAAGACACCCCCCACACACCCATCAGTGTTATATTCCCACCCTCCCGTTTAGCCCCCTTCCCCTTTTCCTCTCTGGCCAGTCCAAAGCCGCGCCCCAGCCAGGCCCCGTACTTGTCCCTGGGATCTGGTGCTCCACCCCAGCTGCTACGCAGCCCCCTGGCAGGCCGTTGTCTGGATCCTGCAGCCCCTCCCTTGATCTGGGGCAGTTTCAGCCAGTCCTTTAACGACCACCCGCTCGTTCCACCCCAGGCTGTCTCCTGACTGCCCCACCACCACCACCACCACCACCACCGCTGGGTTTCCTGCTGTGCCCCGGGAGCAGCTCTGGAACCCATTTGCATCCCCGGGTAGCACGGCAAAGTCCAGAGGGAAACTGCGGCACACAAAGGCCTCCTCTGAACATTGCAGAAAATTCCCCCTTTGACACCCCCCTGCTTTTCCAAGGGGCGGGCGGCCACAGGCTGGTGCTGTCTTCAGCACTCCCCTCTCTGGGGCATCACCCCTAACGTCTGCCCCTTTGGCCTGAGCTCCTCCCCCTCCCAGCAGCCTCTGATTGGAGCCCGTTGGGTCACACCCCAGTTCTCCCTGGTGGGGGCTGCTGTCACTCATGTGCTAGGCTCCGGAGCAGGGGGCTGGGGAGGGGGGCTCCTAGGCTCCGGAGCAGGGGGCTGGGGAGGGGGGCTCAGGACATGGGGGAGGCCAGAGGAGAGGGCAGAAGCCGGTGCCATCAGGCAGCCCTGGCATGGGTGGAGCTGCAAAACACCAGGTGGGGGAAGCCAATCCGGGGCACCGTAAAGAGTGGGCAGTTGCCCCCAGGGCTGTGGTGTTGTGGGGAGGGGAATATTCCCAGCCCCCAAACCGCAGAGACTGGCTGGGCAACGAGGCTGGCCTGTCTCCTCCCGTCCCGGGGCCAGCCGGGGACAAGGCTGGCTTTGCTGTGGGACGGGAGCACAAGGGGGCCTGTGTCGAGGTGGCCCCCCCTCCGGGCTGCGGGAGAGAGGAGAGAGCGCCATGGAAGCCGGGGGGTACTGGGCCCCTGGGGGGACCCCTCCTGACGGGGGGGCTCCTGTACCCCAGAACTTCCTCTGCACTGACCCCTCCCCCTCCTAGTGCCCGTCTCCCCCTTTGTTTTCCAGTGCAGTTTGCCACCGATGGGCACCAGGCGTCTTTCACCATCCGAATCCGCCATGCGCCCACGCCCAAGCTCTATAACCCAGGTACCCCGGGCGATGGCGGAGGTGAGTGCCAGGCGGGTGCCAGGATCGGGGGTGGGGGGCTTGTGCCGGGTGACCTACGGGCTTCTGCAGTGGGGAGGGAAAGGTCAGCCCACGGTATTCAGGGTCAAGGCTGCCCCCACTATCCCCCACAACCTGGGGTCCCCCTGAATCCTGCCTGCACCTCCCCGCATGACTGGGGTCCCCTGAATCCTATCTCAGCCTCTCCCCCTGCCTGTCCAGCTCTCTAGTGGCTGGAGCAGATGGCACCCAGCAGCATCTGTCTGAGGCTGGAATTGCGGGGGGAGCTTGTCCCCCCCCAAGGCAGGTTCCCCCCCTCCCTGGGGTGCTGCTCCCCTTCCCCACAAACCTCTTGCCCCTCTCCCAGCAGATTACAACATCAGCGCCCTGGTCACCATTGCGACCAAGACCTTCCTGCGGTACGACAAGCTCCGGGTGCTGATCGCCAGCATCCGCCGCTTCTACCCCACGGTGACCATCATCATCGCGGACGACAGCCAGCACCCCGAGGCCGTGGGGGGCCCCCACATAGAGCAGTACTTCATGCCCTTCGGCAAGGTGCGGGGAGACCCGGCTCTTGGGGCTCAGGGCCGGGTAGGGCTCGGGTGGCCGGGCCAGGCACTGATGTGTCCCCTGCTTCCCCGCCCAGGGCTGGTTCGCAGGGCGCAATCTGGCCATTTCCCAGGTCACCACCAAGTACGTGCTGTGGGTGGACGATGACTTCATCTTCACGCCCCGAACCCGGGTGGAGAAGCTGGTGGACGTGCTGGAGAAAACCAGCCTGGACTTGGTGAGTGGGGCGGGGCGGCTGCACCTGGGGGAGAATGGGGGAGGCCGGCCATGCCTTGTGGGGGCGGAGTGGGGAAATTGCAGGATGTACAGTTATGAATCATAGACTATCAGGGTTGGAAGGGACCTCAGGAGGGATCTAGTCCAACCCCCTGCTCAAAGCAGGACCAATCCCCAGGCAGATTTTTGCCCCAAATGGCCCCCTCAAGGATTGAACTCACAACCCTGGGTTTAGCAGGCCAAGGCTCAAACCACTGAGCTATCCCTACCCCAGATCGTGCCTGGCTGGGGATGTTGGGGGGAGTTCGGCCACACCTGGGCAGGGGGAGGGGGGGACTCCTGAGAGTGGGATTCCAAAGTCCCCCCCACCCCCACAGCTCAGCATGGAGCCATGGGGCCAGCGCCACAGGGAGGGCAGGGGACCCCCCTAGTGGCCACTGCGGGACATGACATGGTGGGAGTCGCAGGAGCTGTCCCAGCTGGACGGGGACCCCCAAATCCTTATCCCCTGCACCATGCGGCTCCCGCCCCGGTGCATTGGGGGCACCCGAGTCCTCGCCCCAGGGGGCAGCGGGGCACGATGGGTCACAGGAAAGAAAGCAGGTGTCGGAGCTCCCTGCACATCGCCCCCAGGGGAGGGAGGGAGACCTAGGGGAGGGGGAGCTGGTGCAGAGCCCCCAGGTGAGCGGGGGAGGTGGCCCAAGAGAGGTGGGGGAGCTGACCCAAGGCCCCCAGGGGAGCGGGGGAGCTGGTCTAGGGGAGGGGGGGTTTTGGCCCATGGTCCCCAGGGGAGGAGGGAGCTGGCCAAGGGCCCCATGTGCTGCCCCCGGCAGCCCGTCCATCCCCTTGCTCACGTCAGCGTGTCTGGCAGGTGGGGGGCGGAGTGCGGGAGATCACGGGGGTCACCACCACCTACCGGCAGAAGATCAGCGTGCAGGCGGGGGGCGAGGAGGGCGACTGCCTGCAGACGCGCCAGGGCTACCACCACCTCCTCGAGGGCTTCCCCGGCTGCGTGGTCACCGACGGCGTTGTCAACTTCTTCCTGGCCCGCACGGCCAAGGTGCTGGAGGTGGGGTTTGACCCCCGGCTCAGCCGCGTCGCCCACCTCGGTGAGTGCGGGGGAGGGCTCGTGACAGGGCAGCA